TACAGGCGACTGCCACCATGCCCAGCTAATTTTTTGTATTTTTAGTAAAGACAAGGTTTCACCATGTTAGTCAGGATGGTCTCGATCTCCTGACCTCGTGATCCACCCGCCTCGGCCTCCCAAAGTGCTGGGATTACAGGTGTGAGCCACCACGCCCGGCCCATGCCTGGTTAATTTTTATATTTGTAGTAGAGATGGGGTTTCGCCATGTTGGCCAGGCTGGTCTCGAACTCCTGACTGCAGGTGATCTGCCCGCCTCGGCCTCCCAAAGTGCTGGGGTTACAAGCGTGAGCCACCACAACCAGCCTGTATTCCTAATTTCTACTGCTGTTTTCATCCCAGCATCACCCACATGATCTCCTCCCCTTTACCCTCCACAGCTTTGTATTTACATAGCTTATGGATTCCTGAACACTGGCTTCTCTTTGCCTTCTTGAGATTCTTTTCGTCTCCGTGCTGGCTTCCATCTGCTTCACCAAGCTCAATGCCTGGGAGTCATTCCTGACGCATACGTAATGGCGGTCCATTATGGCTCTGACAGTCAGAGTCACAGGGGATCAGGGAACCAGGGAGAACAGGCTCTCTCCCACACTCTCCCTGCAATCCCTGCAGTCATCAGTGCTGCTATTCCTTCTCTTGAATTATCAAAGGAATCAGACTTAAACATTCCTTTAATCCGTGCCCTGCTCTCTAACCCACCAACCATGTCCTACTTCAGGTCCTTGTCATCCCTTGTTTGGACTTCTACCACACTGTGGTCTTGCCCCTCCATAGCCCTTGTGTTCACCCTCCTCCTAGCTGCCAGAGTGACGTAATCCTACCCCTCATCTCCCCACACACCTTCTACAGCTCTCCATCAATGACAGGGTGCAGCCTGGGTTTCCGAATGTGACACACAGGGACCTCCACTGCCTGCCTCTTGCTCTAGATTCCAATGACAGCCATTTGCTTGTCGGGCTTCCTCCCAGACCACCCACTCTCAGGTTATGTAGACCTTGCTTCAGGAAGTGCTTTCTTCAGCCGGGCATGCTGGCTCACACTTGTAATCCCAGCACTTTGGGAGGCTGAGGTGGGCGGATCACCTGAGGTCAGGAGTTCAAGACCAGCCTGGCCAACATGGTGAAACCCCATCTCTACTTAAAAAAAATAAAATAAAATAAAATAAATATATATATATGTATTAGCCAGGCTTGGTGGTACACGCCTATGATCCCAGCTATTAGGGAGGCTGAGGCAGGAAGGTCACTTGAACCTGGAAGGTGGAGGTTGCAGTGAGCTGAGATTGTGCCACTGTACTCCAGCCTGGATGACAGAGCAAGACTCTGTCTCAAAAAAAAAAAAAAAAAAAGTGCTTCCTTCTTGCTGTCATCTTCATGCCAACTCCAACCCCCCAACTAGGCTAGCGGCTTATTCTTGCCAGTTCCCTATCCCCCGACTATAACACGAACATTGCGCTTGTCACAGGCATTAAAACCAGCCATGCACGTGTCTGCTTCCCACTCCTTTGTGACCCTGTGAGGCAGGGTTCATTTCTGTCTCCCCAGTGCCATGCAGAGCTCCCAGCCCAGGATTGCCGCTCAGTAGATGTGGGTTACACAAATGAAGGAAAGAAAGAGCAAGCACATGGATATCCCAAGACGAAAAGCAGGGAGCGACAATCAGCTGCTAAGCAGAGAAGGCAGGATAAGGTGGAGGTGAGGGTCTGTGTCACCTCCTCTCCATCATCTTCTTGAACTCCACCCGCATCAGGTAGCCCCTGCACACAGCCTGCGTGCGCGTCATTAGCGTCACCAGCTTCTCGTCTCTCATCTCCTCCAGAAGCCCCAGGAGCCCAGCTTTGAAAAACACCTGCATTAAAAGACAGAGGAGCCTTGATCTTTTTCCCCAGCAGGTGTTCAGCCCGGCCCTTGAGGGAGCCTGTTTCTGCCCAACTCTGAGCCTCAACCTCAGAGCATGGCAGGGACAGCAATTCCGTTTCCAGGACTTGCTTCTCGGTGACTCTGGTCTCCTCAGTGGCCCCTCCTGGGCAGTGAGGCAGCCTGTTCCAGAGTCTGTTCCAGGCCAGGTGCGGTGGCTCATGCCTGTAATCCCAACTCTTTGGGAGGCCGAGGCAGGCAGATCATTTGAGGTCAGGAGTTCGAGACCAGCCTGGCCATCATGGTGAAACCCTGTCTCTACTAAAAACACAAAAATTATCCAGGTGTGGTGGTATCCGGGCACCTGTAATCCCAGATACTCAGGAGGCTGAGGCTGGAGCATCACTCGAGCCTGGGAGGTGGAGGTTGCAGTGAGCAGAGATTGCGCCATTGCACTCCAGCCTGGGTGACAGAGCAAGACTTTGTCTCAAAACAAAACAAACAAAACAACAACAACAAAAACCCAAAACAACAACAACAAAAAACCTGTTCCAGGCCCCACCAACCCACAGAGACCAGTTCTGACAGAGCTCACGTACAGGAAACAAAGATGAGTCCAGAAAGAAACCATGGGATGCGATCGTGCCCAGATCAGAGAGACTCACAGATGCATTGGCTTCACTCTCTTTCTCTGTACATCCGGGAACGTTGGTCCTACCCTCAGGCCCACTTCACCCACTCCCTCCGTAACAGTCCAGGGAAACCAAGTGCCCTCTGGGGCCAGCAGGCTCTTCCTTGGTGGGGACCCCCAGCCTGCCCCTTTCTGAGATGTGAATCTTCGGAGGCAGGCCAGGATTTGAAGCTGACCTTCGCCACTTACTATCTATCCATGTGTGACCTTGAGTCAGTTTCTCAACCTCCCAAGAACTTGATGAGTCAGTGCCACCCTTGTCACCATCACTCCCACCTCGCTGGATAGTGAAGAGTCAGTGAAGTACGTGCAGGAGGCTTCTCACGGGGCTGATACTCACGTGCTCAATAAATGGCAGCTAGTTTGTCTTCATTTTTGTGTTTTGAGACAGGGCTTCACTCTGTTGCCCAGGCTGGAGTGCAGTAGGGTGGTCAAGCGCACTGCAGCCTCCATCTCCTGGCCGCAAGCAATCCTACTTCAGCCTCCCAGAAGCAGTGGGATTATCGGCATGAGCCACTGCGCCCTGCCTGGTAGCTGGTTTTATTGGTTATAGTCATTCTTCTCAAGGCCTCAGTGTCCGTGGAGTCCTCTCTACGTTCTCCTCTCTTTTCGGCTCTTTCTTACCTCTGGGACACTAGAGTTCCCCATTGGCTTTTCCCATCCTTGCTGCATGGTGGGGCTCAGGCTTCCAGTCTAAGCTTCCAGCCACATACAAACCAATAGGGAGATAAGCTCTCTCTACCTAGACACAGAGCTCCCTTTACCTGGGCGACTGGGCAAGGACGGTCAGGTGCACCAGAAGGGGAAAGGGATCAGCTAACAAGCAGCCCAGGGCTGTGAGGTTACTAGAGGAGTCCCAGCCTCGCCTGTACTCACCTTGGTGTTGCCGAACCTGAACTGCTCCCGGTCCACATCGATGGAGTTCAGGAGCTTCTCTGAGGCGTTTTTGCTATCAATGAACTGCCCTTCAGGGATAGCACTGGCATTGAGGATCCGGTACCTAAGGAGAGAGGACATTTCCTGAATGGATTCCAATCCCTGGAAAGGCTTCATAGCTGAGACCAGGCCTTCTAGAATCTTCTCCTGTTCCAGCCTTAGGAGGAAGTGGAATATTGTACAGCTGGTCTGGGAGATGGGAATAGCTAGGGGCTGATTCTAGCAAGGGGGCCACGGTGGGTGGGAGAGAAGCGTGAAAGAAGGAAGCCCAGCTGAGTGCATGGCGGGAAGTTTGCTTTCAGAGGAAATGATTCTTCTCTGGCTTAAAAGAACCTTGAAATCAACCGTGACCTGCAGACCTTGGTTCTCCTACTTCTGGAAGGTCCTTTCCTGTCCTCCATCCTGGATGAGGCCTGGACTTGCGCACCCCAATGGCGGCTCAGAGAACAGAGTTAGTCTAGAGCTGCGGGCCTCAGCTGGGGGTGATTTGGCAATGTCTGGAGAGTTTTGATTGTCACAGCTCAGCGGGGAGGGGTGGGGTTCGCTACCACATCTCTGAGTAGAGGGCAGGGTTACTGCTAAAATCCTCCCACACCCAGCACAGCCTCCACAATAAAGGACTGCATGTCTAGCCTGAATGTCCATAGTTCAGAAGTTGAGACATCCTGGCCTAGAGTCGCAATCAGGCTAGAGGGTCTGGGCTCTGAATTTGGAACCACTTGGAGCGCCCAGCACTCACTGTGGGCATCGTGTCAGTTCCTCCAGCAAGAGATGAAGTCCGTGGAAACCCTGGGAGGCTTGGGAGCTCAGCAAATACCCAGGCCGAAGAGTGTCTTTGGGGAATGCAGAAGTTGCCCTCGGAAGGAGAGAGATGCACAGGAGAGAGGGAACCTACCGCTGCTTGAAGTCAGCATAGAGGATCCGGCTAGGGAATCCCTTTCTGCAAATCCGGATGCCCTCGAGGACCCCGTTACAGCGCAGCTGGTGCATGACCAAGTAGTGGTCCATCACACCTGGAGAGAGAACGTCCCAGGGGTGTGCCTGTGACCCCTTCATTTGTTGTTGGTGGTCTGAGGCACCATGAAACCCTCCAGCACATCCACACTTGAGTGGCAGAGTCAGTGCCAGCTCCAAGGTAGAGGGCTGGGAGTGGCCGGAGCCTGCCTGCAGGTCCCACAGTAGAAATAATCCCAACCTCTTGGGGAGATGCTAGCACCCCATAACCATGGCAGTAAGAGCCAAAGCATTGTGCTTTCTGTCCTCAGCCCTGACTCTGTAGCAAGGCTGCAAAAGGGGGCAGAGTGAATACGGGGTGCACTTGGGCTTCCTGTGGGATAACCTGAGATGTCTTCTTGCATCTACACAAGGATGGAGTTGGAGAAATCTTCAGGCTGCGGCTGCAGAAGAGTAACCCAGCAAAGAAGAGGAGGCCGGCTGGGCGCGGTGGCTCATGCCTATAATCCCAGCACTTTGGGAGGCCGAGGTGGGCGTATCGCCTGAGGTCAGGAGTTCAAGACCAGCCTGGCCAACATGGTGAAACCCAGTTTCTACTAAAAATACAAAAATCAGCCAGGCGTGGTGGCACACACTTATAATCCCAGCTACTTGGGAGGCTGAGGCAGGAGAATTGCTTGAACACAGGGGGCGGAGGTTGCAGTGAGCTGAGATTGAGCCCTTGCACTCCAGCCTAGGCAACAAGAGTGAAACTCTGTCTCAAAATAATAAATAATAATAATAATAATAATAATAAAGAAATAAAGAAAAAAAGAAGAGGACACCATGGGAGGGGACCCAGAGCGGGGTTGAAGGCAGGGTGGCGGTCATCTGCTGACCACTCAGCCCCTGCTCTAGGAATTGGGGGAGAAATGGAGCTTGGCTGGAAGGCGAGGAGCCAGAGGGGCATGCCCCCCTGGGGAGGTAACATGGATGCTCGTGGTAACCAGCCTGGGTCAGGCACAGATCAAACTAGGATGGAGAAAATTCTGTCTCAGGTCTGTGTGAGGGGTTAGAGGAGAGGGGCTACGGCAACCTGATGGCTTCTCTTTGTGGACTCCCTAAGTTGCTGGGAGGGGGGTGGGGCCAAAGCTGGCTTTGACTTAACCTTAGGGAAGCTTCCAGAATGCCCACATGCTTCCCTGGTAGCTGTGAGGAGACATCACTATACAATTAGATGATTTTTCAAGGCTTTGGTAGAACTGCACTGTCAGATACAGTAGTGACCAGCCACATGTGGCTATTTACATTTAAATTCATTAACATTAAAAATTAATTAACATTTTAAAACTTTTCATGTAAATGTAAACATTTCCTGTAACGGTGGCCACTCTATTAAATAGTGCAGACATGGGGCATTTCATCATTTCTGAAAGTCCTATCAGGCGGTGATTATCTAGAGAAAACATGGTTAAGAGCAAGGAGAAAATGTCTCAGACATTCAGAGAACCAGCCAGGTGCAGCGGCTCAACACCTGTAATCCCAGCACTTGGAAGGCCAAGGTGGGCAGATCACCTGAGGTCAGGAGTTCGAGACCAGCCTGGCCAACATGGTGAAACCCCATCTCTACTAAAAATACAAAAA